CAAACAAACACTAGGTAATAAATAAACAAAAAAAATCTGCTTAACCCTAAATAAATCTACCAAGAAAGTGTTGCGTTGAAATAAGATTGTAGTCAGACACTTAATACTAAGACGTAACTATGTAAAGTTTTTCAACATATCATCAAATTCCTTGCTTTCTGTTAACTTTCAACGAACGACTATTTTCTTGGAGTTTAGGAGTAATACAGCGTTATCTTGTGTCTGAACTTGCAGAAGGATTTTGTACATTTGATCTCCTGCTACTGTAGCTGTTCTTGCGTCCCCTTTTACTTATGAACCAATGCGTCTAACCCAGATTACTAAATCCGCCTCGTGAAACATTTGTAACATGTGATGAATTTTGCTCTTGAGAAAAGACCAAGACATTTTTTATTCCTTTGGTCTTAAACTTTATATTTATTGTGGTTTCGTGGTTTGCACCTCGCTACCGACAAAATATAAAATAAATAAAAATCACGCTCCGCAGTTTGGGGCAGTTATAGAGTTACGGTCAAACCCAATTATCCTATTAGAGTAACCCAATAGTTAACGTTGGATGGTATTGACTGTAGTTGTTTTCCCTCTAGTCTATCACTTAAAAAATAATGACAACTAGTGCAGATAGCCCTTACGTAGCATTGCGCAAAATTCGATAGAACAACAACAATATTTACAGAACATTTCATGAATTCTAGCAGATTCTTCAAATAGGATAATAACTTAAACACCTAGGAAAAAGATGCTTCATAGTTATGGTTTCTCAGTCATTTGACATTGATTGATTTAGCTATTTACCAGCTTTAATACTTTTAGTCTGTGAGTCTCGCAAGTATAATATCATATCGAAGGCGAGTAATTACATATGACTTAGATTAATTTGTTGAAAAAAATCATAAGAAATAGTAAATATGAAAATAATAATAATTCCACAAAGTTCACAACGTTTCAGGCTTGTGTCCTTATTCTACCCAAAAATGGACACTGTCCCTTTTTTGTGATTTTTTTTCATCAACTTAATATAAGTCTTTTTCAGTTATTTTCACTACGCGTATTATTCATTTTCATCTTTCCAATTGAGTAATTACATATTACATTTTATTGATTACACACTCTATTAATTGACAAGTTAATTATTCATCTGTACAAAATAGTAAAACATTTAATAATTCAATAGAAGTACAAATGTTCTTTGTTTGTTTGAAGTTAAGCACAATGATACACAATAGGCTATCTGTACTCTATTAATTGACAAGTTAATTATTCATCTGTACAAAATAGTAAAACATTTAATAATTCAATAGAAGTATAAATGTTCTTTGTTTGTTTGAAGTTAAGCACAATGATACACAATAGGCTGTCTATACTCTATTAATTGACAAGTTAATTATTCATCTGTACAAAATAGTAAAACATTTAATAATTCAATAGAAGTATAAATGTTCTTTGTTTGTTTGAAGTTAAGCACAATGATACACAATAGGCTGTCTATACTCTACCCACCATGGGTATCGAAACCCGGTTTATAGCGTTGTACGTCCGCAGAAATACTGCTGTGTCATTGGAGGGCATCATAAATATTAACAAACACTTAAACTTCCGAATTTATTTTGATAGATAGATTTTACATGAATTGTCTGATCAAAGTCACACATACACACGAGATGTATAACTTTACATCAGGGTTTGTTTGTTTGTTATTAAGCACAAAGCTACACAAAGGGCTATTTGTGCTCTGCCCACCACGGGTATCGAAACCCCGTTTCTAGTGTTGTAAGTCCGCAGACATACCGCTGTGCCACTGGGGGGCATACATCAGGGATAGCATGATTTTAATACTGAACTTTAATCCAAATACAAACTTATTAGATATCCTTAACAATGGAAAAGAATAATGTGCTAATAATTTCGATAAAGGAAAATTGTTAAACAACAATTAATATTCCTCGACTTCAAATTTTAAAAAGACAACTTTTTCTAGCGAACAGAAAAAATTATCAAATTATTCGATATAATGGATAAATAGTTTCATAAAGCGTGATTTTGTTTTATACGCTTTATTTGTTTAAACTCAAAGTTTCACTATGGACCCACCACAAGAATCGAACCCTGTATTTGAGCGCTGTAAACCCTCAAGGTTACTCTGCTCTAACTTGGGGCTATATTTTATCTAAACGTTTATAGCTGTAATGTTACCCAGTCGTATTATTTAACATCAGAGTAACGAGGATAAGAAACAAGAGAAAAACTATTTATTTTTAATTCTTAGCAAGTTAAAATATAAATTCCAGTACCGTTTCTTGTTTCTTTAAATCCTCACCACGTGGAAAAAAAATCACCAGAAGAAGGAATAAAAGTTTTTTTTTTATTAAAGTTTTCATTGTTCAATTATCCATTAAGTTTTTGCAACTAGCCATCTCTTGTTGAAGCCATGAATCTAAGTAGCTGAAATACATGCGGTAATCAATCTCCTTGTCTTAAACGAAGTCGCCTGTGTGTATAGAATTTTCCTTTATTTCTTTACACATCATGCGTAGAAGATTACGAACACAACGCTCTAATCTCGATGTCTTAGAGCCAAGGTCGTTCGATTGAAATGGAAGTGGGTCATGGATGCCTGGATACAATATTAAGAAAAATAAAATATTTGGTCTTCTTCAGATTCATTCAGTCGAATCATTTTGGCCTTGAAAGCAAGAAAAATGATATAAATGAAAACTACTATCGATTGCCTGCTATAACATAGCATGTAATATATCTATCTAAGTATAGTTTATTGATATTATACTTTAATTCAATGAGAATCACAGTTACGAAGAGTTTTTGTTTTATCGCTGATGTTATTTTTACATTAATGTAGTACGTATATGTATATATATATATATAAAACGGTGCCAAGACAA